TTTAATTCTCAGAATACCTCTTTTTAAGTTGAGGGTATTATCATGCTAATCTTACAGAAGCTAACTTACTTGCCTGCCTAAGTTTATACAGCTCGCATATGACAGAGTCAGAATTTGAAGGCAGGTAATCTTGTTCCAAGAGTTTATAATTTTAACTTCTCTGCTACTCTTCCTTTCAGTGACATTCTTCTTTGTTTAGTAATGTCAACTCTATGTTTTGTTTTAAATATTTTATGTTTATTTTGTTTTAGAGAGAGCTCAAGTCAGGGAGGGGCAGAGAAAGAGGGAGACACAGGATCTGAAGCAGGCTCCAGGCTCTGAGCTGTCAGCACAGCTGTCAGCACTCGGAGCTCAAATGCAGGACAGTGAGATCATGACCTGAGCCAAAGTTGGCACTCAACCAACTGAGCCACCCAGGCGCCCCTATTTTGTTTAGTTTTTAATAGGCTTTGCTAGGTCCTGACTTTTGTTATTTTTCTTTCCTTTCGTATGAGAAATTTCCCCCAACTCTTTTCTACTGTTAGCTTAAATTTCCTCTCTTTGTTAAAGTATAATTCAAATCCCATAAAATCTGCCATAGGTGTTTCAGCCCACAGCTTTTCCCCCCTAAGTTTCCATAAATTGTTAGAATATTTTAGCACTTTTTTATTTGACCCACAAATTTTATAGATCATGGTGTCTGAGTCTTGATACTTTCTCAGTTTACTTCCTCTTCCCAGACATTTGTAAAACGTGAAGTAAGATTAATAATTCTGGTTTTCCTCCTGAATCATTGGGAAATCCCATGCTTCTTTATCTAACAAATACAAGTATATTCACATCTCAGCTCTGCCTAAATGTGATCTTAGGGCAGTTTCATTTACCTCATTTCCAAAATACTTTGGGGAGTTGTGTTACATATTAGAGATAATATATATAAAGCACTCATGTATAGAGGTTTCATTACTTGTTATAGCTTTTGATCTGCAGCCTTGTTATATGTATTCCATCAGCTGTTTACCCCAACTTCTCATGCCTTTGTGTGCCATAAAAGATCTCTACATATGATCTTTTTTTTTTTTTTTTAATATTTTTATTTATTTCTAGGAGCATGTTTGTTTATTTATTTATTTATTTATATTTTATTTATTTCTAGGAGAGAGAGAGAGACAGCATGAGCAGGGGAGGGTCAGAGAGAGAGGGAGTCACAGACTGAAACAGGCTCCAGGCTCTGAGCTGGCAGCCAGCACAGAGCCCGACGCGGGGCTCCAACCCACGAACCGCGAGATCATGACCTAAGCGAAAGTCGAACGCTTAACCGACTAAGCCACCCAGGCGCCCCCTCTACATATGATCTTGATGGCTCAATCAATTCTTCTTACATGGCTTATTTTATTAGTGTCAGTATTATGAATTTGTCTAGTCTGGAAATAAGATGAACTATTGTGTCATTTCCAGGGTTTCTCTTATTTATTTGAGAGCGGGGGGTGGGGGGGCAGTGGGCAGAGAGAGAGGGAGAGAGAATCCCAAGCAGGTTCCACACTGTCAGTGCAGAGCCTGACATGGGGCTCAGTCTAATGAGCTGTGAGATCATAACCTGAGCTGCAATCAAAAGATGGATGCTTAACCAACCGAGCCACCCATCCAGGTGCCCCTGCAGGGTTCCTTTTTAGAACTTGTCTTATTGAAGGCTCTTCCATTAGCAGTCTGCTATCTTCTGACATACTGGCTACTTATAATAACAAGCCAGCAGTCCCACATTTCTTCAGAACTCTTGGATAGGTGCCACCTGGTCATCATAATTTAGTTGCAGCTAATTTGTTGATTAGATGTAAAATATTTTGAGCATTCACTACAATTTGAGCTTAATAGCTCTGATCAATCTCCTTAAAAAGGCAGATTGGCAATACAGTTCTGAAGGCTTTTGCATGAAATTTTCAGGTTTGATGTCACTTTTGGAATTTAGGTTTGTTCACTGTGCATACTTTTTATTCATGAATCTTTGAGTTCTTTGCCTGCATCTGATACCATGTGTTTGAGGTTGCATTTTATGAATGTGAAACTTTGTACATGTTTACTAAATGATTTAGGTTTTATTTCTGCCTTGTGTTCTTAAAAATACCAGCTGCTGCTTAGTTAAAAATGTAATTTAATTTGACTGACACACAAGTTTTGAGGTTCATAAACATGAATGTATTTTCCTTGTTTGTAATCATAAGTCTGTTGGTCCATATGTTAATGTGTTTCTTGATTTAATTTAATACTTTATTTTAGAGATAAATAAAAACAACAACAAAACCCTTGGGGAAGACTTTTTGTTAAATTTTTGAAAACATGTTTCTATTTCTTGGAATTCACACTTGTACATTCAAAATTCCTGACTATTTTAGTCATTTTCTACGTTTTCTCTTTCAGGAATTTTATTATTTCGTTTGCAGGGAACAGCTTTTGATAATGATATAATATTGTATTTATGGAAACAATTGCATTTTGAATGTGTGAAAGAAACATTTCTCCTCATTTGCTCCATGCAGTTTTAAGAATCTAATGACTAGACTTAGTTATACACATAGCAGATTGTTATAAATCTAATGATTTATTTTGGTGGTTCTTAACAATTTGGGGGTCAGAAAACCTTTTGTAAAATTGATGATTGCTTTATCCCTTCATACCAGAAAAGTTCACACATGGACAAATGCAGGAAATTTAAGGACCCCATGAAGGGTTTTTTTCGAAATGGGACATGTATACATGTATATGTAAATATAAGGCACTATATAAGATCTTTAAGAAAAATACAAGCAAATATATATAAATACTCTAAGTGGGGAGCAATTATGTGGGTGTTTGAAAAAAAACATGCAGAACAGGGCCCGGAACAGGCAGGCTTCATGGAGATAATGGACTTTTAAGGCCTGATAGGCATTCAGAAGACGAGACCTCATTCCAAGCAGAGATAATAGTGTTAGCAAATAGAGAGGCAAGAAAGTACTTGACCTGTTAGGATACCCACAAGTATTGAGATCTCTTGAGGAAATGATTGTTTCTGATTCACCTTTTGAGTTCTGCATTGTGCTGCACAATACCTTATGTAGTTTTGTTATGTAAACTCAGCAAATACTTACTGAGTTTAACTTTTTTTTATTCTTTTTTTTTTTTAACAGAGAAGCTTTATTTTTTTTCCTTATGTTGATTTTTTTTAGAGAGAAAGAGCTTGTAAGTGGAGGGAAGGGCAGAGAGAGGGAGAGAGAGAGAATCCCAAGCAGGCCCCAGCTGCCAGTTTAGAGCTCGACGCAGGGCTCAAACCCATGAACCAGGAGATCATAACCTAAGCCGAAGTCAGACGCTCAACCAACTGAACCACCCAGGTGCTCCTCTTTTTACTAAACTTTATCATGGCTCCTAAGACCACTTTTCTGTGTGTCCTATCATGTAGTATCTTTGCTCACAAATATATATTTTGCAGAGAATCAAGCTAATACATGTAATTTTAATGACTGGGTGCATTAATTAGCTTTAAAAAGAAATCTAAACTTATTTTTTATTAGAAGAGAACAGCTTTTGATAGAAATTTTGTATATCTTAAATTGTATCTCTGGGAATAGTTGTTTTGGGATATGTGAAAGAAACATTTCTCCTCAGTTACTTGGTTAGCTTTTGGGGAACAGTTAAAACGATCATTAAGCATCAAATAAACTAATAGCAACCCCAACCAAGTATACTTTTGTTTAAGTGAAAGCTATGTGAAGTCTTGCCTGCTATGGCAATATAATGAATAAATAATACATTAATATATAAGTAGTAAATAAGAAATAAGATTTAGAAACTAATATCTTTCTTAAGAGTAATTTTTCTCTCCCCTTGAAAAAGCCTCATTATCTATGGGGAAGAAGTTTCGAAGCTAGCATTTTCTCAGTTTTAGCTGGATAACAAAATCTGTTTAAAAATGAACATGTAAAAAAATAGTAAACTTTATTATTATTGACATTTTCTTGCAAAAGATTCCTTGTAATGGTTTTGCTGGCTGGGTAATTTTCTTGCCGTATTCCTAATGTTAGGGCAGTAGTACCCGTGTTAGTGAACTATTTACTCTATTTTAATTAGTTTCTTAAAATATCTCTGCTTGCAGCACTTGGGTGGCTCAATCCATTAAGCATCCGACTGTTGATGTTGGCTCAGGTCATGATCTCATGGTTCTTGGGATTGATCCTGTGTTAGGCTCTGTGCTGACAGCATGGTGTCTGCTTGGGATTCTCTCACTCCCTCTCTGCCCCTCCCCTGCTCATGTGTGCATGCTCCCTCACATGTGTGCTCTCTCTCTCTCTCTGTCTCAAAATAAATAAACTTAAAAAAAAACTTTGCCTCATTTTCTCTCTTGTGTTTGTAATGTGATAATGTGGGCCATTAATTGAGCACATATTTTATACATTTACTCATTCAAGTAATACTTAGTGCCTAGTCTATGAGGCTATTTCACAGGTGCTATAGAGGCTGTAAAGATGAACAAAATATTAATTCCTTGAGGCAGTCTTATGCCCTGCAGAGTTTTTGTTATCAGTGACAGGATAAAATTTTTCTGATTATCAATGATAGGATAAAATGATTCTGATTAATCCACATGAAGAAACATAATTTGTCCAAGTTTATCCCACTAATCAGCAGAAGTAGATTTGAAGGCTCAAGAGCTTATGATGCTCGAGCCTGATCACAGCAAGTCTCTACATTCCAGTGCTAGACAGATTTATTGCTTTGGATCTTTTTAGTATTTGAGCTTGTATTTCTGTCTTTTATTTGTTCCTTCTTCACTTAGTGCCATTAACGAGATCAAGAAGTTGTCTAACGTCACTGATAGTCAGTTGTAAAACATGTTATGTTTCAGGAACATACTTGAGATCCATTCTTACATATATACAGAATCTAGTCCTGGACACATGGTATAGACGCTGATTTATTTTGGAGTTGAGTGACTGTGTGACAAAGCACTCTCTTCCTCATATTGTGATTTTTTTTCTGACTTGCAGGTTTTAAATGCACAGAGAGCAGGATACAAAGCAGCCATAGTTCACAATGTCGACTCTGATGACCTCATTAGCATGGGATCCAACGACAGTAAGTACAGGTATCACTTTTCTTCTCTCCTGTTTGAAAGATCTTTTGAAAATAAAACTTAACAGGATTTTTTTCTTCAAATTTTCTGTTTAAAAAGCAAAATTTCTTTTCTATCAGAAAGGTAACTCTCATCTTAACCCTCTTGGGACAGTTTTATTCATAGTGAAGTGAATTTGACTTGTTCTTTTCTGAATAGTTAGTTGTTTTGTTTTCTTTTACCTTTCTGTTTCATTGTAGATGTATTGATATTTTGACCAAAATCAAAGGAAAACCAAAGTTTTAAATAGAGACAAACATGCTGAGTTGAGGATTCCAAAGAAGAATTTTTGTGATTTATTTAGAGATTCACAATATTAAATGTTAGGATATGTAGACATACTAAGTAGCTACTATATCCTTATAGAATTTTGAAGCTACATACTTGTGCTTTCTTATACCAGTTGATTATTAATTTCTTAATATACATTGACATGCCTATAGCTTTTCATTCAAAATAGGAATATTTTCCCTTATTCTCTACCGAGTATTAGCTTGTGGGGGAAATGAGCCAATTTTAACCAAGTAACTGGCTTTAATCTGTGACTTTTAAGCTGTATGCCTTCACTTAATTTGGTGAGAGTGATAAAGATATCTTTTGTTATGTTAATGACATGACTTTTGGGCCCCACCTGAAGAAGGTAGCTGATGGGCTGGAGAACCAACCATGTGATGAGAGAATTGGGAGTTTTCAGTCCCACCTCTCTGATCTCTGGGGAGAGACAAAGGACTGGTGGTTGAATAGATCTCCAGTGGCCAATGGCTTAATCAGTCACATCTGTATAATGAAGCCTCCATAAAAACCCAAAAGGACAGGGTTCACAGAGCTTCTAGGTTGGTGAACACAAGATTTGGGGAGAGTTCCATGCCTGGAAGAGGGCACTCTTCATACATACCTATGCATCTTCCATGTGGCTCTTCCTTTCATAATAAACTGGTAATCTAGTAATTAGACTATTTCTCTGAATTCCATGAGCCACTCTAGCACATTTCATTGGACCGAAGGAGGGAGGTGTCATTGGAACCTCTAATCTGGTAGATCAAAAACACAGGTGATATTATGGACTCAAAACTGGTGTCTGAATGCTTGGGAGATTTTTGTGAGACTAAACCTTTAACCTGTAGAATGTGATGCTATCTCCAAGTAGATAATGTCAGAGTTGAGTTGTTCAATGGTGTGGGTAAGAGCCCCCATATACACATTGGAAATTGGGTTCAGAACCCAAAACACACTGCCAGCATTCATGATTAAGTATTTTATTTTTGTTTTTCTTCTAGCACATAACCATAATACCTCTGGCTTCTAAGTGCCATTGAATCTCATATGCAAGAAAGAGCTTGGAGCAAAGAGCAGACATAAAGCTATGGACTGATATCCTACGTTGGAATATATTTAAGACTTTAAATAATTAGATCCTTAATAGGAAGTATTTTGGAGTCCTTGACTAAAAAATATTTTTATAGACAGTATTTGTTGTTATTGTTTGAGTAGAACCTTCTTCCTTCTTAACCCTATTATAACCTGAGGCAAAAATTACAGTTTATAAAAAGTAAAACTTAGTGGGGCACTTGGGTGGCTCAGTCTGTTTTGCCTCTGACTTTGGCTCAGGTCATGATCTCCCATTTCGTGAGTTCAAGCCCCGCAGCAGGCTCTGTGCTGACAGCTCAGAGCCTGGAACCTCTTCGGGTTCTGTGTCTCCCTTGCTCCCTGCCCCTCCCCCACTCATGCTCTGTCTCTCTCAAAAATTATGTAAACATTAAAAAAAAAATAAAACTTGGTAATAAGTTCCTGCGTTAATTTCTATATATTTAAAATTATTATTTAATATTCTAGCTGAGCAAATCATTATAATGCATCAAATACTCTTAAGAGGTTTTAGCATTTCACAAAAAGTTTGATAGTCACTCCTTGGGAATTAAAGGAATTGTTAAAGGTATTTTACTTACCAAATAAACTAGTTCTATTAGCACTGCAGACTTGACACAACTTTCTTCTCCTTTAAAAAAAAAAAAAAAAAAGTCAGTAGCTTTTGTTACCTGTATCCGTTGCTAACAAAATGGAAAGCATAAATACTCCAGAAGTAGGTGTGAATTTAAATTCACACTGTGAAGCTTTCATTTGTATTAGCTGTATAGCTTTGAGCAAGTTACTTATTCTTTGTGTGTTTTGCTGAAATCCTGAGCCCAGTGTTAATCAGTCCTCAAGACCTGTTCAAGGTCTTATTTGGGTTAAAAAGATCAGTATTTGTAAACTATTTAGTCTTTTTACATGTTTTTTTAATTTTATTTAAATGTTTTTAATGTTTTATTTATTTTTGAGAGAGAGACAGTACAAGCCAGGGAGGGGCAGAGAGAGAAATAGAGAGAGAGAGAGAGAAAGAAAGAATCCACAACAGGCTCTAGTCTCTGAGCTGTCAGCACAGAGCCCAACATCAGGTTCACACTCAGGAACCATGAGATCATGATCTGAGCCAAAGTAAGATGCTCAACTAACTGAGCCACCCAGGTGCCCTTCACATGTTTTCAATAAAAATTTTGGAAGTAGGGAAGTGCCTGTTCCCTCTAACACCTGTTTTGCCTTTGTAATACCATAAACTTTTTTGTGGTAATCATGTCAGTCCCTAAGGAAAATGTGCTAAATGTTAAAAGTAGCACATAACCGTGTAATCCTGCTGTTGCCATGGAAATGTTCCACCTGAGCTATTATATACCAAAGATTGGTCAGAATTTTGGTCCTTGACTTGCTTTATTGCTTGGATTATTTCTGTGATACTTTGCTCCATCCTTGCGTATGTGTGTTTTGGATATTTCATATATCCAAACCCAAATGTTGCAAAGACCTATTTACCACTTTCATCTTTGCTGTTAAGTTAGTAGAGGAAAGGAAAGCATGGATTCATTAAAAGGGACATGTACTGGGACACCTGGGTGGCTTAGTTGGTTAAGCATCCAACTTCGGCTTAGGTCACAATCTCACCGTTTGTGCGTTCAATCCCCACGTTGGGCTCTGTGCTGACAGCTCAGAGCCTGGAGCCTGCTTCGGATTCTGTGTCTCTCTCTCTCTCTCTCTTTGCCCCTCCCCAACTTGTGCTTTGTTTCTGTCTCTCAAAAATAAGTAAACATTAAAAAAAAAAAAAAAGGGTAGGGGGACATGTAGCTATACCCCTTTTAAAGGCTTAGTCTATAGCCACAAAGAATATTGCACACGTTCTCCTAAGAGTAGACATTCTAGTATCTAGAAACTAAAGGGAATTTTAAGAGCCCCTTGCTACAGACATTCTCACAAGGACTTTGTTTTTATTTCAGCTAGGACATAGGATGGGTTCACTCAGTGAGGCAATACATTTGTCTTTGTTAGGAGGTGGCAGAATGTGATGGGAAAACACCAACTACAGAACAGAGGCCGATGCAGGCTCACTGGCCATGAGATCATGACCTGAACCTAAGTTGGACACTTAATCTACTGAGCTACCCAGCCCCTGGTCTTTTATTTTAAAAGGATCACACTTTGGCTGCTCTTTGGAGAACAGATTGAAGGTGGAAGGTGGACAGGAGTGCCTAGGAAGAGACAAGTCAGGATGTTGCCAGAGGCGATGGTGATCTGGAGAATTAGCAGTAACTGATAAGAGGTGATAGAATTGTGGATACATTTTGAAGTTGACAGGATTTGATAAAAGGAATAAGGAAGGGGAGGAGTAAGGAATGATTCCAAGATGCTCAGCACGAGAAACTAGGTGAATACCAAATGCTGTTTACGAGATGAGAAGGACTGGGTAGGAGTAGAGCTGATTGAAAGGAAAGAGACTTTGAGAGTTGGGTTTGAGAAACATTGTTTGAAACACCTGTTAGCCAATCAAGTGGAGATATTGAACAGGCAGTTGGATATATGAATCTGGAGAAGTTGGGGCTGGCCATTTAAATTATCATTTGTCTATGATATCATGATAATACTATCAGCAGTGTACACTTCAGAATTGTTTTGTGGATCAGAATTGAAACTTAGTGGTTTTTAAAGTATTTTGTAAACTAGAACATGTTTGGTTTTGTTTTCTGTAGATAATGTTGCAAAATCTCCAAGATGGCTAGTCATATTTGCATACAACATTTCTCCCCTTCTTTTGACTAAAATGAGGAGCTTTTTACATCTCTTTAGATATGATAACTCAAATAAATTAATTATTGACATGACAGGATATCTGAGGTGTATCATTGTAAAAAGCTTATACTTTTTTCTATTATATGATCCCACTGACATAAAAATAGTGATTAAGTATTCTTTTATCAACCATTTTGGTTCCTGCCCCCTTGGGGCTTATATAGGTGTGTGTATGTGAAAGAGAGAGAGAGAGGGAGGGAGGGAGGGAGGGAGAATGAGAATGCGTGGAGTGAATGATTATATTTGCGTAAAACTAATCTAGTTTCACTAATTAGTTTCACTAATCTAGTGAAAAATGTATTTGTTGAAACTTAAAGCACTGTTTATTACTTCAAATAGAACCTTTGTCTTTGGGTGGGAAGAATTATGGTTGTGTTTGGTTTTCTTCTGGTATCCTACTCCCCCCCCATCCCACTTTTTAAAATAAATAACAAATATGTGTTGTTGTTTTTAAGAAAATGTAGAATATTTTGTGAAGATGTAATGAAAACAAATGGACTTTCTTTAAAGCCATTTTTGTTAATTAACTCACAGCTAAAAATAAGGCTGCTTTTTCTTTTGTAACTTTAACAGGATCTTCCTGAGTAATGGGTAATTTTTACAAACTTCTCTTTTGTTGACATTTGATTTTGGTTTTGTAATATAGGTGTAAGAATCCAGTTTGTTAAGATGCCAAACAAAACAAAGCTTTACCATGAACTTCAGGCTTAGGAGGAAGTAGAAATTTACCCAGATTTCCAATTTTATGCCCTTTCTCAACTCCTGTCAGCCCTTCACTCTAGAATGTCATAGATATGTGGTGTCATTTTTGAGACTTTTGTAAAGTGGTCTTTTCTTACATTCTTTGGCTTATACCTCTTCTGGGAATGGGTATGTAAAAAAAGCTTTTTTACTTTTTCATTTAGGAATTAATTTATGTGTAGAAATAAAACTTAAAATAGTTTCTTCCCCTTCTAAGAGTTGATTATGTCTAAAGAGGCATAAATCAAAAGGAAATATTAAAAATGGTTATCCCAATCTTATTAGGACTATTGATGTAGAAGGTAATGTATGTATGCAGAATGTTAGTTTTTGTTGTTGCAAATGTAATAGTACTTCTCATCCACTGAAATTGATGATGGTATAAATCTGCAATCAGGAAAATCAACCAATTTGAATTTATTGTTAATTGTTTCCAGTTAGGTTTGCTGCTATTGTTAAGAATGTAAAGTTGATTGTAAACGGAATGTGGGCTTTTAAGAATAATTTTATTATTATTTTATACAGTTGATGTGCTAAAGAAAATTGACATTCCATCTGTCTTTATTGGGGAATCATCAGCTAATTCCCTGAAAGATGAATTCACATATGAAAAAGGGTAAGTATTTTTCATGGATATGAAAAATAATCATGTAGATAAAATTCTCCTTTATCTTAGGGCAGAACTATGCTAGTTGTAACCAAGGTTGTGTTTTAAAATGAACTCTATTGTGCTAAATTTTCTCTTAAGTCATTATGATTATAAGACTTTATTATAATAATTCTTCTGTGCATTGTTACATACTGAAAATATACTCACTCTAGAGAGCCTAAGGTACTCATGTTGCTAAAAAGATAAAATTTTCCCTTTTATCTTGAATCAAACCATTGGTATTTAGAAACCATGTGATTTTATATTTATATGACACTTTTCTGTAGGTATTTTATTTTGTTAAAAAGAGATTTGTTATTTTATAAACACAGTCCAAAACAGTGTGATATTGACTTGATTTTTATAAAGACATGAAGTTTGTTTTCAAGTTTAAAAACTTTCATTTGGAATAAAAACTTTTGTATGGAATTTCCACCACAAATCTTACGACCAGGGTAACATAGCCTTTTGAAACTAAGGCCTCAGTATTTCATCTAATATAGAAAGCATTACAATTAGCACTTGAGCTTCTTCTGTGGAACATATAGTGGGCGGGAACAGGCTTTTGACGAAGAGAAACAATAGTAACATTAGTGATAAAAGCAGTAATGTTCATTGAGTACTTAACGAGTGTCGCACTCATGAAAGCAAGACTTTTTTATATTTGTTATCCATTTAATTTTCACAACAACCCTCTAGAGGTTGTTATTATCTCTTATCTCTACATTTTCCAAAAGAGAAAACTGGCAGAATAAAATCCAATCCTGATTATTTGGGGAAGAGGGGAATCCAGCAAGATTTGAGTTAGAAAATACATAAAAAGAAGAGGGAAAGTTTTGCTATTGGAAATTTTTGACATTTTCCCTACACAGTTTTGATATTTAAAATATTGCTCACATGTTATATACTCAGGACATCTTTTTGAAGGTTAGGAACATAATTTTGGAGGTTGTATTAATTATAGTTATACAGGGAGTGCCTGGATGGCTTGGTCCGTTAAGCGACTTTGGTTTAGGTCGTGATCTCATGGTTCATGAGTTCAAGTCCCGCATCGGGCTCTGCACTAAGTCCCTTCTCTCTGTCCTTTCCCCACTCGCACGCTCTCAAAATAAGTAAATAAACTTAAAAAAAAAAAGATAGTTATGCAAGATGCTATTTTGTCAGCTGTATTTGTTTAGTTAGTAGAGGGGAAAATAATACTTTTACTTGAATATTTTTCCCTCATTTAGAAAAATTATGTATATTTTAATATGTATTAAATCTTTTTTAGTTTTAATTATAAAATCATGACTTTTTAATTTAAAAAGTAATATATGTGCTAGTAAAATATGGAAAAATTCAGAAATGCAAAGCATTAAAACCAAAGTCCCTGTGATGCTATTCTCTAACAACAGCAGCTACTGTTTAAAAAATGTTAAACTGGAGAGCCTGGGTGGCTCAGTTGGTTAAGCGTCCAAGTTCAGCTCAGGTCATGATCTCATGGTTTGTGATTTTGGGTCACAAAATCAGGCTCTGTGCTGAAAGCTTGGAGCCTGCTTCAGAGAGAGAGCCTCTCTCCTGCAGAGAGAGTCAGATGTTTAACTGACTGGACCACCCAGGCACCCCTGCCAACATGATATTTTAAAGTTTGTAGGTTTCAGAATTGTGCATAAGGAACTGTAAACGTGTACAGACACCTCTCCCTCCTCTCCCTGTCGGCTGACCTTTCTGCCTGCTTGCCCACCTACCTACCTACCCACCCACTCATTATTTTATTCTACTTAAAAAAAATTATTGAAGCACAGTTGACATACAATGTTATATTAGTTTTAGGTGTGCAACATAGTGACTCGATAATTCTGTTCATTACTTAGTGCTCACCTAGTAAGTATAGTCCCCATTTATGATTGTACAGTGTTATTATAGCATTATTGGCTGTATTCCCTGTGCTGTACTTTTTTATCTTTAGGACTCATTTTATTTTATTTTATTATTATTTTTTAATATTTTTTATTTATTTCTAGGAGAGAGAGAGAGACAGCGTGAACAGGGGAGGGTCAGAGAGAGAGGGAGATACAGACTCTGAAATAGGCTCCAGGCTCTGAGCTGGCAGTCAGCACAGAGCCTGACGTGGGGCTCGAACCCACGAACCGTGAGATCATGACCTAAGCGAAAGTCGGACGCTTAACCGACTAAGCCACCCAGGCGCCCCGGACTTATTTTATAACTAGAAATTTGCTGTCTTAATCCTCTTCACCTATTTCACCCACCCCCATCCACACCTCCCCTCTGGCAGCCACCAGTTTCTGTATTTATGAATCTGTGTTTTTGTTTGTTGTGTTTTTTAAATTCAACATATAAGTGAAATCTTTTGGTATTTGTCTTTCTTTGTCTGACTTCACTTAGTATAATATCCTCTAGGTCCATCCATGTTGTTACATGGCAAGATTTTATTCTTTTTTAATAGTTGAGTAATATTCCATTGGGTGTGTATGTTTGTGTATTTCTACGTATGTACACATACACACATACATATCGCATAATTTTTAACCCATTCACCTATTGATGGACACTTGGGTTGCTTCCATATCTTGGGTATTATCAATAATGCTGAAATAAACATAGGGGTGCATGTTTCTTTTTGAGTTAGTATTTTTGTTTTCTTTGGGTAAATACCCAGTAGTGGAATCACTGGATTGTGTGGCATTTCTGTTTTTAATTTTTCAAGGAACCTCCACACTGTTTTCCACAGTCTTCGTACCAATTTACATTCCCACCAACAGTGGACAGGAGTTCCCCTTTGTCCACGTCCTTGCCAGCACTTGTTATTTCTTCTGTTTTTTATTATGAAAGCCTCAAAGCATATTTAAAAGTGGAGAGATGAGTATAATGAATCTGATTGTTCAGTTTCAAATTGTCAACTTGTGGTCAATTTTTTTGACTATCTACCCTCCAACAACACCCCTTCAATCTCTTTCTTCCCCGCACCATGATTCTTTTGAAGCAAGTCCCAGACATCCTGTCATCTCAACTGTAAATATCTCAAAATATATCACTAGAATATATTTTTACATATAAAAATATCGGGGCATCTGGGTGGCTCACTCAGTTGAGCATTCAGCTATTGATTTCAGCTGAGATTATGATCCCAGGGTTGTGGGATTAAGCCCCTGCATCCAGCTCTGTGCTGGGCATAGAGCCTGATTAAGATTCTCTCTCTCTCTCCTTCTGCCCCTTTCCCCCCAACTCACATGCTCTCCCCTACCTCTCAAATTAGTAAAAATAAAAAGATATTATATTCTACTGTTTTTTTGAAAAAAGGTAAACATTAATACCAATACATATTTTAGTCTTCATATTTTCCCAACCATCAGATTTCCTTTTTTGTTTTTTTAAGTATTTGCTTGAGGCAGAATGCCAATAATGTCCATACATTGCAGTGGTTCTTATGTCTTAAATTTCTTTTATTAGCTAAAATACTTATATGAAGAGAGCTTGCACCTTATCAATTACTTGATTACCTTGATAGATAGTCTGTTCAAGAAAGCTAGGATAAGGGCACCTGGCTGGCTCAGTTGGTTAAGCAGTTAAGTGTCTGACTCTTGATTTTGGTTCAGGTCATGATCTCACAGTTTGTGGGATCCGGCCCCACTGACGGTGCAGAGCCTGCTTGGGATTCTCTCTCTCCCTCTCTCTGTGCCCCTCCCATGCACACACGCATGCTCTCTCTATCTCTGAAAATAAATAAACATTTAAAAATAAAAACCTTTAAAAAAGGGGAAAGAAATCTAGGATAAACAATTCTTTCCCTTCATTTACTATTCTTCTAAATGATTTGGTTACTAGCATCTTCCAAAGATGATTTTATATATGTATTCAAAGTATCATAATGACCTCATGAGTTAAAACTCATTTAATATGCTGCAGTGTGCTGCGGTTATGACCTTTATTGACCTTCACATTCTCCCATTTTAGACTTCTTCAAATTTAATCCTAATTTCTTTGGATGTAAATCTGGGGCTTTGGATTGCTCCTTGTTTTCTATACGACAAGATGTTCAAGGCCCATCTTGTTCTTTTCCTCCCCCTGACTTGGAACCAGCTGTTTTTTCAAGGAGTTCTGGTTCCTTTTAATTGAATATGGTATTTAGAGACTGAGGGCTGATCATTGCCCCTTGGTTTGTCCTTATTTCTAGGGCTTTTCAGTGGACGCAGCTAAGAAATATACCAGCTTTTTGCTTTTTATTTTTTGGTTTTTGTTTTTGTTTTACAGGGTAAGGGTTTCAGGTAGAATAATATGTTTTTCAAGATACAATAAATCATGAGCACACAGTATTGTTTCCAACTTAAATTCAGGACCATAAGATTTTTACTATATTTTGCTGATCTTACATCTATATTTTATTTTTCTGTGCTCAGAGACACCAAATGATTGTTTTCTTTTTAAATTGCACAATACAGACACAACAGACTCAGAACAATGCCAACACAATTGCCAACATGTTTAAACAGTGTTTTTTTTTTTTTTGTTTCAGTTATATCATAATAAGGATCTAAAATCAAATTACCATTTTTTAAAATTTGTGAAATAATTCTGTGTGCTGATGCTATCAACTAGAAACACAGCTCTGCTTGATTCATGTTGCTTTTAGATTTTAAGGACTGCTTTTTACTTGCATTGTGATTTTTATAATTACGTATAAACTTAAAGTCAAAATCCACAAAACACAATGTATATTCAGAGAAGGTCAGCTTCTAAATATCCACTCTGTCCATCCTGGTCCCATCCTTACCTTTTAAAGTAACAATTTTATTTATTTGTTTATTTTCTAAATGTTTGTTTATTTATTTTGAAAGACAGTATGAGCAGGGGAGGAGCAGAGAGAGAGACAGAAAGAGAGGGAGGAAGGGAGGGAAGGACTATCCCAAACAGGCTCCATGCTCCAGGTTGCACCAGCAATAGATGAGGTCTGTTATCCCACAGCCTCACCAACAAAGAATGTTGTCAGATTTTTCCATTTTTACTAGTTAGGTAAGAAATGGTTTCCTGTTGTAGATTTAGTCTGTATTTTCTTTCCATGAGCAAACTGAGCATGTTTTCTTAGGCATAAGACCTATTGGCATGTCATTTTCTATGAACTGTTTAGCTCATTTTTCCTAGTAGCTTGCTGGTAATTTTCTTTTCTGTTGTTAGAAGCTCTTTATTAATTAGGTATGGTAACCATTTGTTTGTTATATATTACAAGTATTTTTTAATACTTTGTCATTTTAATTTTATTTATGGTGTTATTTTTTAAATGCAATCAAATATATTAATCTTTTCCAGTGGGCTGATGGTCTTAGGAAAATTTCCCCTGCTTCTGGGTTACAGAGGAATTTACCCACATTTATACTGTATGGTTCCTTTTTTAACATTAAATCTCTGGCTTATTTGTAATTTATTCTGTGTAAACCTTGAGTAATGGAACCAGTTACATCTTTTGTCAGATAACCATCCAGTTATCCCAACACTATGCCTTAAAATGTTTGTCCCTTCACCCAGTTTGAAATGTTGCCATATTTCCATACATAACTGAACTTTCTGTTTGTTCTCTTTGGCTCACCAATACCAGTCTGGTTTTTGTTATAGGGTTTTATAATTATTGGTATCTGAACGGCTAGCCCTTCCCCATTCCCACCCCTCTCTTTCATGTTTTTTTTACAGCTATTCTTGCTTGTTTGTGCTTTTAAACAAAAATCTATATGGCTTTATGGAGTCATATTTTATACACTATAAAATATACCAATTTTAAAGTATATAATTCAGTGATTCTAGTATATTTACACTTGTGCAGCCATCATCACATTTTAATTTAGAACTTTCCAACACCCCAAATAGAAACCATATATATATATTTTTTCAATTATTTCCAAGAGGGATTGGGAAGTTAGATAGATTATTGTTATAAACTTTAGGCCCAGCCATCTGGTTTGAAATTAGCCTGGGAACTCATGCACAGGAGAATAGGACCTGATTTCCTGGGTTACTTAGGACTCTGCTTTGATGATCAAATCTTAGCTGCAGAGCTCATGGAGTGTACTATATTTAGGGGTGGATGTAGAAGCAGTGTAAAAATACTTATTAACACTGTTTAAATATCTTCTTCAAATACAAATTCATCAGGGATTAGGACATGGGGGATGAGTCTGCAGCTCAGCTGTGGGAGCCGAGACAGAAGAAATAGAAATAGAGCTAGAGGACTGATTATTGTAGTTCCCTGCCCTGTACCATTGCTGTTACCACCCTTCACCTTTAGCAGTTTGGTTAAGAAAAAGCAGCGTCTCAGGGCACCGGGATGGCTCAGTCAGTTAAGCATCCGACTTTGGCTCAGGTCATGATCTCACTGTTCATGGGTTCAAGCCCAACATCAAGCTCTGTGCTAACATCTCAGAGCCTGGAACCTGCTTCAGATTCTGCGTCTTCCTCCCTCTCTGCCCCTCTCCTGCTTGCATTCTCTTTCTCAAAAATAAATAAAACATTAAAAAAAATTTAAAAGAAAAAGAAAAAGCAATGTCTTGAATGTCCATTGAGTATCTTGCTTTAAGATGCTTAAAACCTTCTATCCATTGTAGACCCTTTAAAAATTCTCATAATATATCTTGAGAGTAAACTAAAGTGGTTTGAGGTATAGCAGGCAAGCATTGATAAGGCATATAGAAGAAAGTAATTTAGAACCTAGGTCTGTGAATCCTAACACAGTGCTTACTAGAAAATTCTAGGATTGATTGCATTTGTGTGGTTACACATATATAGGAAGTTTTCAATAAAGTCTATGAGATAAGGAAGTTGTTAATGTAAGAGGAGAAGAAGGAAAAAACCAATGTAAGAGATGTAAAGTTTGGTACTGCTGAGATATTTTGATGCTGTAATGGGTTGATTTGGCTGATTTCCTCTACCCAGTCTAAAAGCTTCCTTTTTTTTTTTTTTTAAATGTTTTATTTATTTCTAGGAGAGAGAGAGAGACAGCGTGAGCAGGGGAGGGTCAGAGAGAGAGGGAGTCACAGACTGAAACAGGCTCCAGGCTATGAGCTGGCAGTCAGCACATAGCCTGATGCGGGGCTCAAACCCACGAACCGCGAGATCATGACCTAAGTGAAAGTCGAACGCTTAACCAACTAATCCACCCAGACGCCCCTAAAAGCTTCCTTAATTGTAGAGGCAAGTTATTTTGGCAAATATGTAAAATGAACTGAAAGATGGAGAAAGTATTTCTTAAATAATTGGAAATCATATATTAGAAAATGTGTCTAGTGGATTGAATTGTCATGTCTAAATGCCTTTCAAAAATGTTTTTCTTTGTTTTTAATTAACATTATAATTTGGCACCCCTTAATATTTTTCAATTATTATTTTGTTTTCTTTCAGGGGCCACATTGTCTTAGTTCCAGAATTTAGTCTTCCTCTGGAATACTATCTAATCCCCTTCCTTATCATAGTGGGCATCTGTCTCATCTTGATCGTCATTTTCATGGTAGGTAAATTAATGTTAAATGTATTTTTAAAAATAGTAGGGATGATTCTAAAAACATTCTATTGAGTAGAGGATCCTTACATTAAAGAGTACATATTGTACGAGTCCGTTTATATGATTGGGTCTGGAAAAGGTAGGGTAATCTGAGGGTGGGAGGAATCAGAACAGTGATTGCCCCTCCAGGGGCTAGGGATGGGTGAGGGATTTACGGACAAGGGTATGAGGGAACGTCTCAAGGGTAAGTCATGTTCTGGGTCTTGAGAGAGGTTTAGGTTGCACACATGTCACTTAAATTTTGTGCATTTCACTGTATACAAATTTTACCTAAGGGAAAAAAATACTAAACTTTGAGTAGTGATTTATAAGCTAAAGTATTTTGGGGGACATATACTGATTATCTGCAACTTATTTTGACGTGCACTATTAAAAAAAAGAGAAAAAGAGGAATATTGAGGGGTAGATAGATGGATAGATAGGTGATAAAAAGTGCAGGTCAATGTTATTTATAGAATCTAGGTAATGGATATATGGGTATTATTACATTTCTTCAACTCTTCTCCATTTTTGACATTTTTCATATTAAAATGTAAATAAAGAATGGTATGAGGGCTCAAGTGTAGGGGCAATGACACATTACTTCTCCAAAACAGAGGTTACCAAAGTATGGTCCCAGGACTCTTAATGGGTCTGTGAAGTCAAAATTGTTTTCATAATAATATTAAGGTATTATTTGCCTTTGTCACTCTTATTCCCTCAGGGTTTAAAGTGGAAGTTTCTAGAAACTACATTGTTTGTAATATCAAAACAAATTGAAGGCAGAAGCAGATAAAACCACTGTAGTATGATAGATACTAAAGAGAATTGCAACGATATAAAATAACCCCAGTATACTCACTTTATAATTTTTTATAAATATTTATATTAATATTCAAAGAGCTTATTATTTATATGGACATCATAGATTAACTTAGAGATTAAATGCCATCTTTGAAATGTACAGTCTTTCTGTGATGTGGTATTTTCATTTGTTTAGAACTTTTGTATCCACCAGTTTAATAATTTTTTTCTGTAAACGTTTTGCATGCCTTTTGTTTGACTTTTGAAATTGCATTTTCTAAATGGTTAATACTAGTATATAAGAATATTGATTTTTTAAATAAACTTAATTTTGGAATAATGTTAAGATTTACACAAAAATTGCAAAGAGGAACATTCTTGTACATTCCTCTTCTAGTTTGCCCCATTGTTAACATTTTAAATTACTGTGGTCCATTTGTCAAAACTAAGAAGCTGACGTTGGTACCTTACTAGTAACTAAACTCCAGACTTTGTATAGATTTCACTAGTTTTTCCATTAACGCTCTCTTCTGTTCCAGGATCCAAAACCGGGCACCACTTTGTATTTAGTTAGCATGTCTTACCAGGCTCCTCTGTTCTGTGACAGTCTCTCAGTGTTAGTTTCTCCTTGTTTTTAATACCCTTGACAGTCTTGGGGAGTCTTGGCCAGGTATCCTGTAGAATGTTCCTCATCTGATAGTAGTTTTTCTTATGATTAGACTGTGTTATATATTTTTTTGAGGAGTGGGGAGTATAGGTTTTTAAAAACAGAGGTGAACAGCCAGGGGGTACATGATATCTGCATAACATAACTAATGGTGTTAATATTCATGCCTTGATTAAGCCATGTTTCTCCACTATATAGTTACTGTTTTTCTCTTTTTTTATTCTATTCTAACTTTGGAAGTGAGGCACTAAGTACAGCCCATCTTGAGGTGGGTAGGGGCAGGCCTTATTATCTGAAGTGAGGAGTTGGAGAGAGTATCTGCTACATATATTCTATTATTTGGAATTCTTTTGTAAGAAAGATTTGTCTCTTCTTGGCATTTATTTATTCAATCATTTATTTATATTAGTTATGTACTCCTATATATTTATTTTATTTTTTGGGTTAGAATCCAACATCACATTATTTATGTTGCTTAAATTTTAAGCTTTGTCCATGAGGAGCTCTGTCAGGCGGGTCATGTGTCCCTTTGATTGGATCCATCTTTTTGTTTCTCTAAGCACTTCTTTTGTATCTGGTACTTTAAGAAGCTTCAGGTTCATCTTTTATTTCTATTGCCCCAGCCCTAGAATTAGATGTTTCTCCAAGGAGCCTGGTTTAGTTGTATTTGGAAATGAAGATTTAGACACCGGACATTATTTTTATATATTAATTTTGTATCTACTAACTTGCTGAATTCTACTCTGGTAATTTGAATTTGTTCATTCTCTTGGGCTTTCCATATAGAGCAAGGAATAATAGAAAGAGCAACATACAAAAAATACCTTTGGCAAAGTAGGAGTAGATGTAAATACCCTTAATCTGATAGAGATTATTGACTAAAAACTGAAAATGAACATTATTAAATGGTTAATTTATTAGAAGACTTCTCTTGAGGGGTGTCTGGGTGTCTTAGTTGATTAAGCGTCTGACTTAGGCTCAGGTCATGATCTAACAGTTTGTGGTTCAAGCCCCATGTTGGGTTCCGTGCTGACAGCTTGGAGCATGGATCCTTTTTTGGATTCTGTGTCTCCCTCTCTCTCTGCCCCTTCCCTCTTTGCCCTCTGTCTCTCTATCTTTCTCTCAAAAATAAATACATATTTAAAAAAGTCAGAGACAAAAAAGGCTGCCTGTTGTTGTGCCTCTTATTTAACATGATGCTGGATTTTCTGATAAACCAAGAGAAAAAGCTATATAGGGATTTGAAATAAAGAAATAAAACTTCTTTTTCCTCATTTAATGATGATGGAGTACAGAATTATGTCTTTTATCTTTTGTAATGATCATTCATTTTTTTTCTCTTTTAGTCTATTTTTATGTTGGATTACATTAATTTATTTTGTAAATAAATAAACTTTATTTATTTTGAAATAAACTTTATTTATTTTGGAAAAAACTTTATTTGATTATGACGTATAAGTTTTGCTTTTCATTTTGGATTATTCAGATTTCTAATATGGATCAATTCTACATTTGTCATAAATATAAAAATCCTAAATATAATATCATCATTCTGAATATCCAGGTAAGGGAAAGCTTTGGAATTATGGAGCTAGAGTAATCCTAACATCAAAACTGGACAATCCCATGAGCACATGGAACAGCCACTATAGGAAATTGTATGACAGTTCCTCAAAAAAAATTAAACAATGAATTATCACATCCAGCAATTCTACTTGGGGTATATACCCAAAAGGATTGAAAACAGTTGGACAGACATTTGTACACTTCTGTTCATAGCTGCATTATATGCAGTACTGAAAGAAGCAACCAAATTGTCCATCAGTGGATGAATAAACAAAATGTGCTATAGACATACAGTGGAATGTTAGGCTCCCAATTCCGGCACATGTACAGTATGGGTGAACCTTAAAGACATGCTAAATGAAATAAGTGAAATGAAATAAAATGAAATGAAATAATAAGCAAAATGAAATAAAGACCTGCTAAATGAAATAGTCACAAAAGAGCAAATACTCTATGATTCTATTTATATGTGATACCTAGGTAGTTAGACTCAGAGACAGAAAGTAGAATGGTAGTTGCCAGCACCTGTGCAGCGGGGAAGGTGGCGAATTATTGTTTAATGGGTACAGAGTTTCAGTTTTGCGAGATGAAAAGAGTTTTACGGATGGATGGTGGTGATAGTAACACAATAATGTAAATATACTTAATGCCACCCAACTATACACTTAAAAATAGTTAAGACAGTAAGTTTAGTGTTATGTGTATTTTACCATGTAGTTGACCCTTGAGCAGCATGGGTTTGAACTGCATGGGTCCACTTATCAGTTATAAATAAATAACTAGACAAGATAAAACTATCCCCATATAACTAATTACCCTTATTTTCTGTTTTCTAAAATAGTTTTTGATAAAGTTGGGGTTATATATTACTTTTTGTTGAAGGTTGTTTACAAAAATCATTTCGATCTGCTGACTGTTTTCATAGTTACCTGGACATTCAGATGGTTGTCTACTTTTTCATACTAAATTATTTCTAAGAAATTGTCTAGTTTATGTTTTTAAGTATATGTGGGGTAAAGTGATTAATAATGTTTGCATATTCACATAACTGTTTTTTAAGTTTATTTATTTTGAGAGAGAGAGAGAGACAGGGTAAGTGAGGGACAGGCAGAAAGAAAGAGAGAATCCCAAGCACTGACAGTGCAGAGGCTGATGTGGGACTCGAACTCACGAACCATGAGGTCATGCCCTCAGCTGAATCAGACACTTAGCTGACTGAGCCGCCGAGGCACCCTTCGCATAACAATTTATTTATTTATTTATTTATTTATTTATTTATTTATTTTTTAATGTTTTATTTATTTCTAGGAGAGAGAGAGAGAGACAGCGTGAGCAGGGGAGGATCAGAGAGAGAGGGAGTCACAGACTGAAACAGGCTCCAGGCTCTGAGCTGGCAGTCAGCACAGAGCTGGACGCGGGGCTCGAACCCACGAACCGCGAGATCATGACCTAAGCGAAAGTCGGACGCTTAACCGACTAAGCCACCCAGGCGCCCCCTTCGCATAACAATTTAAAGAGCATTTCTTTTCTTTTTTTTTTTTAAAGAGAATTTCTACTATCTGTGAAGTGAGTTCTCTTTATTCATATCTGTCCATGCCTTTCACAGTGTTATCAATTTATCTGTTTTGTCTTTCAAAGAAGTAGACCTTAAGGATTTTTCCTTTCACTCAACAAATATTTATTTTGCTTTTATGATGAATTAGTGCTATACGATCTGAAGCTTCATCATTGAACCTAAAATTGGTAAAAATCCCTGATGTAAAGCAGCTTAGATTCCACTGGAAGTTATATTCTAAAGTCTTCACTTTTTTATATCTTTCATGAATTTCTGCTCTTAGCATCACTTTCTTCTATTTTTTTTTTTTTTGGATATATTGCTTTTCTTTTTCTAGCTTGTTCAACTGATTGCTTATTAATTTTTTTCTTTCTA